CTCAATCGCAAACGTCCGATTCGGGTCGTCAGATTTTCGTACAAGTCGGTTCATGGCCAGGTGCGTGTTGGCGAAGACGCCTACACCTCCAATGCCATCTGCTGTTCGATGTGAGCTTCCGGTTCAACCGTCCGTGCGCTGAAAGTACAGATCGTCATCCTAGTCCTGGGCGACTTAAATCTCCGTTGGCCCTGTGATTCTTGCAGCCTCGCCCAAGCGGTCCCAGTCGATGCCACCTTGTCGGTGATTCCCTCAGAGACCTATAGTTACTACGGTCTTCGGTTCGAAGAAATTTGACCACGCCCAGCTCGCCAGGCTCTGAAGTGGCACGCGCCGCATGAGTACGGTTTGAACAGCAAAACCGTTCACCCCCACGCCTCGTTGAGGCTGCGGATAGGACTAATTATGGGAGGGGAGGGCTTGAAAGTTTTGCTATTCGCTCTCCTTATTCCGAACTGTGAGAATGACGCTATAAGTTAAGACTTGGTATCGTCATGACAACCGCGTGAAATCTCCAACAAACAGGATGGGACTCAGCCATGTGTTCATGACCGTCAGAAACGTCCTAAATATGCAAAGCATCCCGTCCAAGATATATCCGACTGATTTTCGTGCGGCTTCATCCCACCTTTTCTTTCGTACCTGAACCCCGTCACCTACGATTTATGATTGTTGTTACTGTGCTTGAGTGCTCTTTACGAATGGGTCGGGGTATCGGTGTATATCCATTTCTCCTGAATCCGTGACTCGCCGAATCTCCAGCTCCGAGGCTCGTATAACGTCTTCTCGAGCCACAAAAATGGGGAATCCTGTGTACATTAGCTCTGAGCTGTAGTGGGGCGTGTGAGACAAAGGCATACGCACATCAGCTGAACGCTGAACTTACCTTTAAGTACAAGTTGCTCTGCTCGGTTCGACTGCACTTTATGCAGACTCACCTTTACCTCTGACCACTTCTCGGCGTCTTCTAGCAAAACCCATTCTTGACGCTTAGCTTGCTGAAGCGTATCACTGCTGACATGGGCGTCCACGGCGGTACCAAGGATCGACAGGATAAGAGCCACATGTAGGAAAGCTCCGCACATCTTCAAATCAGTTGCTGACCGCTGCAACAAAAATGGTTTCTACATCTTCACCGAGCTTATATAGTGCTAATTATCACAATGCTTATCATCTTCGAGAAAGTAAATTCAAACATTTCTCGAAGATGATAAGCCGTGCGATAAGGGGCACTATGCATTGAAATTAACCACCCTTCTCGAATCAGCAAGCAAAAACGCGTTCGCTGCTGCTGAGGGAAATCCCCCTGGACTCTTCAGGAAGCATCAGGGATCACAATGTGAAAAAGTGCAAAATGATCGAGGGACATTTCCGAACGAAGTTGCAGAAAGAGGGTTTGCAAGCATTTTTAGATCACCAGTTACATCAAATCCCCTTCACTGCTTCTTGTCTTCTACATCTTTTTACCTTCGTAAAAGACACCCCTGTAATCTTGCCTGTAATACTTTGGTTAAATAGGTAGCACTATAGACTAATGAAACGTGGTGGACATAACCTCCCATCCATATTTGACAAATGAAATCATCACTTTTCACCTGTCACAACTCTCTACCCTTTAGCCTTCATAATATGGCAGTGTGCAAGCAGTACCGTTTCGGAGAGCGACCATGGCGACAGTGTCCCTTATCAGCCCCCATCGAATTTCATCCTTTCCTTCACCGGTCAACTGAGACGGAGATAGGCGTCAAGCCGAGTAAATATTAGGTCATCCCATTCAAACTGGCCGCTACATATAGAGGAATGGCAGAAAAGCAAAGGGGATAGAGCAGCGGGCTACTATACCATTTGGAAGCTAGTACCTTAAGCTGTGTATCTGTGAAATTTGGCGAACCTAGCCCCAGAAGAAGTTCTCGAGAAATTGAAAAGAAGCCCGAGTGGTGAAAATCGGCGCCGGTTTTTCAAATCAGACGTCATAAGAGGAAAGTGCGCTGCTCAAATTTGACCTGCGCCGGACCATAGTTGTGTGTAAGGGTGTTCTCGAAATACACGGTGGAAGATTTGGTTCAGGAGCCCGTACAAGGAAGAAAGGAAAAAATTTGTTGTCGTGGATGGTCCCATAATATTCATCCTGCACAAGAAAAACGGGTGGATGAAGTCAGGCACTGAATATCTGATCACAGAGCCTGGACCTTTGTCGGGTTTCCCCGCGAGACTGACATCCCTGCTGCAATTACTGTACGTGTTATGACCGATAAACTGAGGATGGTCAAGGGGGTGTGCGCATGGGTACCCAATTTTCTTATAGAAGCACGAACGCAGTACCGATTCTATACCTCTAGCAGTAATGTTCTCAGCATGAGATGTCACTCACAACTGTGAAAACGCACCAGGCGGGCCTCTAGCAGTACGCTCATCCGTTACTTTGCCGGACGTTTACTACGTCAGTTATCGTTGCGAATTCGTGCGAACACAGCAGAGAACCAATGGTCCGTGACTCCCTTCAGAGAATCGTTCCGCAAATTCCGAGGGCAGATTTGAGTTCAGCGGCTCAAGACACGTCTATCCCATATACATCACGGCTGGATCGACCTGTTAGGGTCCCTTGTGAGTCATTAGAGCATGTTTTTGCGCAGGAAGTATAGAGATCTCGAATGAAAATGAAAATTTGGTGACTAGCGATTCAAAAAGTGGTGAGAGTATATGGCAATCTTCGTAGTATGGTGATCCGTGAAGTGCTGAAGACCTTGGTATGCTTCCAGTACTCTCATACTCATACGTGAGGGGTGTCCATCCACTCAATCACGTTCATAGGGTTCAGAAAGGTCTATTAATCGAGAGACTCTTTGGGTTGCAGTTTATTTAGTGTACTAGAAATTGAGTAGATGATTAGAGACTGTGTAAGTGAACAGTTGTATAATAGTAAAAGTAAATATCCACGGCTTGTCATCAATGAAACTCAATTCGTTGTAGCGAATTGAATACACTTTACCTTGGATTTTACTGGAGTTATTTCAATGTCCTGGCGAATCGGAATTCAATTAGTCTCATTACTATTTTTGGACTTGCTATTCTTGCGGTCCACTTCCAACATTAATGCACTATTCGCGCGTGGTATCGTCACCAGTTCAGACCTGATTTACGCTGTGTGGAAAAAAACCTTGGAACAGCAGAATTTTAGCTATGTCTCGTTATCTTTAAGCTTCCGCGATAAAATAAGTGCTATTGACTTATAATGTGGTCGGACATCCGGAAGCTATTTTTGATGCTGCGGCTATCTTCAGATAATGTGAAAATAACGCAAGTAATCGCTAGAGGCTGAATATTTAGGCTTATAGCCCCCTTAGGCCATGCCTGCTATCACGGTGCTATGCTACTAGCGTAGTAGCCACTATGTTATCTTTCTCTATAAACTTTTCGAATGCTTTTTTCTGTCTGTGCTTTCTCTCCTGTCTTAATCAGATAATGAGCACTTATTTTCTGGTGCCTATCTGAAGTCCCGTTTCCCGCATTTGCGCCGGGTACACGAACGGTGCGCTAACTTGTGAACGAAATATTGTTCTATAGTAAGTTATGCATGAAAGAAGTGTTTTTGAGCAGTCTCCCAACGACCCAAATAAGGAAAACCAGAAATCAGGAAACCAGAAATCTAGGTTCCGCACCTAATGGATCTTCAATGATCATATGAACGACTAAAGATTTTCCTAACTCAGTTCGACTATTTTTGATGGAAATGTACTCGAAGCATTGCATGATTCGAATGCATATAAGCCATTCACCAAGGATAAGTATGCAATTTTTTAGGAATTGGTTGTAGTCGAATATTCGTGCTACCCCTAAATTCCTGTGACACGGTACATACATCGTGTCTGTGGTGAAATGAACATTGAGGCGGGGGGGGGGTCGTACTGGTCGCTTGGATGGGACAGGGTGGATGGGAGGAGGTGGTTTTTTATTCCTCCCTTTCACATTGTAATAACCCTACCACAGTTGGTTGGCGCACCGAGGTTGTTATACTTAAATATTTCATCTATAGTTTTTGAAAATAGTTAGTTGGTTTTCCGACCCCCCACCCTCCTTCCCCTCATGGAAAAGGTGGGTAGGTAAGTGTTGAGGTGAGGGTGGGGATTGTATCGTAGATGACACTTCCATTTCCAACATCACGATGCTGGACTTGCCTGTGGGTGTTTGATTCCGAGATGATGAAGGCTCTAATAGTCCAGACTGAGCAAACCAAATTCAGAGCGCTAAGTAGTTTTTTTCCTGTTGATCTCTCGCCATCTACTCACCCTCAGACTGTATTGCTGTTGAATAAGAGCTTCAGAGACGTTCAAAACGCGATTTTGGCTTGTTCCAAGTTTATTTTCGCAGCTATGCACATTCTCTGTGTCAGACTACTTCGCCAGTTCGTTTAATCGCCAACACACAGTAAACAAGTCTAAGAAGAAACAAACAGTTTTTATCGAGTAATTCTAGCTGTTTAATACATTTAGAGCCGTCTCTTTCTGTCAGGACATGGGCAGTACTCAGCATCACCGCCAACGTTTCCTTGTGGTCCGGCTTGTCCTGGAGTACCGTCCATTCCGTTGAATCCGTCTTTTCCAGGTTGTCCCTGAGGTCCTGGGATTCCGTCACTTCCTGCTTCTCCTTGAGGGCCATCGTTACCGGGAGCTCCACGAGGTCCTGGGAGACCAGGACGTCCAGGCATACCGGGCATACCTGCAAGTTTGACATTCAAGTATTTTCAAAATCTCTTGCATGAAGTTGTGGGAAAATTTACCTTTTCCTGTGAGACAATCTCTTCCGGGTGGTCCGGACATTCCAGGCTGTCCCTCGTTTCCTGGTTGTCCCACGTCTCCTTGTTCTCCTTGTTGTCCTGGCTCTCCATCCTTACCAGGTGCTCCGAGGTCACCAGGCTTACCAGGCATTCCTTGGAATCCTTCCTGTCCGGGAAGACCATCGGGTCCAGGAGGCCCTGGTGGGCACTTGATGCACCCTTTAGGATAGTCATTCGGTGTAACAATGTTGAGTCCAGGCAGTCCGGTCGGCCCATTCTTTCCGTCAGGTCCAGTCTCTCCTGGCTCGCCGGGCATACCGGGAGGTCCTGGTGGTCCAGGAGGGCAGTTCTGAGCTGGTAAGCCACAACCTAGAAAACTTCTGTTAAGTTTTGGTAACTACATCGGTCAAATTTGAGAAAACTTACTGCACTGGTTGCTGCTTCTCTTCTGACGACCAAAGATTCCACGGACATACTGCTCGGCAGTGGTGCCACCATTGCGCATTATCATCATGTCATCCCAGGTGTCATCAGCAACATTCTGATAAGAAGTAAAGGTTCAAATAGCAGAAGTAAACCACCACATGGGAACCGCTTACTCGGAAGGATCCTAGCTCTCCCATCACATCATCGTACATCTCATTGATGTCGTTCGTGATGACGATTGCTGCCCAAAGACAGGCGATTACGCAGAACGTGCCGCATGCAGCACCGATGGTCACCGCTGTCCTGACCATTGCTGGAATATCAGATGATGAGAAGCTCTTTAAGGCTTTAATGGCTAATGTTGAAAGCAAACTGAGACAAAGCGAGCGGCTAGGCAATCTGCGACACTTGCGCTCCTTTTAAACACCGCTCAGACACAGGATTTCGTTTTTCTGTCGATTCTTAATAGAGGCGGCGCCTGTTGCATCGTTCAGCTGTGCGGTTCTTTATAGCCGTTGTTTTGCAAAGATGTTCGGCTTAGCTTGACATCCTTGATCGCGGACAGGGACGTTCCTGAGGTACCTGCCCGTAATGAGCAGCGTATGTTTCTCAATTTTGAGCCCACCATAACAGCACAAGTGCTGGCAAAGCAAGCGGTAAACGTGTACGTTACAGTTGTCCTCTATAGGAGCGCCGTGCACTCACTCCTGGACACGTACTGTGCTGATCAGTCGCTCTCATAGAGAAGGCAGATTAGTTGGGGCGCAGTTCGGCGACGGGGGGGGGGGGCATTCTGCTTCCCATCGATGTGTCGACCCATCTAGATAGCCTTTTCTTGAGTTGACACGTTTTACCATGGTGGCTAGACGAGCTTGCTTCCAGCTTCACAAGAGTTCACAAGTTTTACCAGAGTGAGACTTGTAAACCTTGTAAACCGAAGTAGTGAAGCAGCGAAAGTGCAAAATGCCCCCCGTCGCCGAACTTGCGCCCCAACTAATCTGCCTTCTCTATGAGAGCGACTGATCAGCACAATACGTTTCCAGAAGTGAGTGCACGGCGCTCCGCTGCTAT